TGAGGGTACGTGAGTGCTCTAATATGGGGGTCCGTAAGGATGGATATATCAAAACCCAATCTGGGTCTACTTTTTTCCAATATTGTTTATTATTATATGGGACTATTGAGAATATATCCTTCTCTTCCTGGTTTCAGGGAAAATAGCCACTAGATGAGAACCTGTGTTTCGACCCCTCACCTATCAATCATAGAAGGGGTTCAGGAAAATTCCATCTCACCCTTAATCCAACAATGACTTGTCAGAGCTTTGTGAATAATGGATTTTTAGTTCACTGGCAGTTCTGAAAAAACTGTTTGACAAAAAAAAAAGTTTGACAAAAAATTTTGCCCAGCTCTGCCTGTCACAGGTATATACATGCACACGAATGCCACAGCCACTAGGGGGAAGCCAAGGGAGTGAATCCAGAAAGCACCATGGTCAGTCATGCTGCCTCTGGTAACCAGCCTCCTAAACTTTGAACTTCACACTTACCTTAGCTGTGCAGCCTCTTTATTCCTCTCAATTCAACCAGCAACCCCCTTCTGAGATGAAAGAGCTCAATCTTATGGTGAATGGGAAAATAACTGCATAATGACAATGATCTTTTTCTGTTCTAGATCAGTAACAATGATCCACAACCAGAATACTCAGAAATCAGTTGCAATGTTTATGTTTCCAGCTGGTACTCTTAATATAATATTTCACCTGTGTGAAGCTCCTCTTTCCTATTAATAGGAAAGCATAAAAATATAATAATACTGTATGACTAAATTCTAGTTTAGACATCAGTGAAACACCACTGCCAAACTGCTATTCAGGGAGGCCCCAAATGGCAAAGAAAAGAGAATGACAAAATAGAAGGAAAAAGGAGAATGAATTAGTCACAGAAAGAAAGAAAGATGCATAACACTGCTGGGAAAAAGCAGGTACAAAAAAGATGGTGCCTGGTGAATATTCATGCAGAATACTCACTATATTTCATTTTAGGTTCAGCCAAGAGCTGATGAATTATGTTCCAACAATGACTCTTATTTCATCGGGCTAAAAACATAATATTTCATACTGCTGTCTTTTCTCTTTCTTTCTTTTTTTTTTTTGCTCCTTACCAGACACAGACTGTTTTGCATCCCAATTATCCTTGCTAGCACATTTTATTGCTGAAGATCAGTTGTTGATGTTTTCCAAGATCCCTTTACCTGTAGATCTTGGGGACCTTGCCTGTCTCACAACATATTCATTGTGACGTCCTGAATTATTTTTATTTCCTGCAACATACCCAGTCTCCTGAGGATGTCTGTCTCAGAGCTACACTGATGGTACTTCCCATACTCAGCCAATTTAGATTTAAAAAATTATCTTATCTTTTATCTTTCAGATCTTTGGCTCTTTTGAAGCAAGACAATTAGTTAAGGATCCTTATAAGCAATTTGTGTTTTTAAAATGAGCATGGTATACATTTATTTAACAAAGAGTTGACTACAATGTGAGGGACATTTACTCTAAAGTCAGACAGCCTGCAGAGAAAATGCATTATGGATGCTAATGCTATGAGACCCAGAATGACTATGAGACCCAGGTCCAGCATTTGTAAAGCCAGGTTTACAATGCAGTGTGGATGCTCAAGCATAGGGGGACTTCAGCGAACCCAGCCAGAGACGTGGCTCAGCAGGTGAGGGTGCTCCCTGGGGCAGGACCCAGGGCAGTGGGGGGTGAAGAGAGTGCTAAGCCCCTACCTGGAGTGCTGCTGTGAAGCCTGCAGGTTCAGAATGTGAACAGGCTGGATCGCTTCCAGAGCTTAGCTGAGGGGCGGAGAGGCTTCCCCATCCCAGCACTATGCAGGGCTTTGGCACGTGCAGGGCTCGACTCCTCCTGGCTAGCGGGTCTTGAGCTTTCCTGAGATGCCGGTCCAGCCATCGCCAACCGGAAAAGGGATGGGGCTGGGGTGGGGCCCAGCTGGCCAAGACCTAGCATGCAATGGGGGCTGCACTGATAGACCAGCAGGGGGTGCAGCTGTCCCCACACTCTGCATCTTCATCCCGCCACCAGCCTTACACACCCACCCTGGGCAGCTGGTGAGCAGGAATCTGGCCAGCAGCAGGACCCGCCAGTACTGATGGGGGAAGACACAAAATATGGGACAATTTGCCCATTTTTAAGAAAAAGTCGGGACACCTACAGGAGGGCTTAAATATGGGACTGTCCCTTTAAAAACAGGACATCTGGTCACCCTATTCAAGCACAGTCTTGGAAACACTGAGTCCACAACCTTGGGTCCCACAGACCGAGGTTTAGTGTGCAGTGTAGACATACCCAAAGAGTTTACCATCTAGGGCAATGGTTGGCAACCTGCGGCCCGCGGACTGCATGCAGCCCATCAGGGTAATCCACTGGCGGGCTGCGAAATATTTTGTTTACATTGACTGCCCACAGCTCCTTGTGGCCCTCGCTGCTTCCCACAGCTCCCATTGGCCAGGAATGGCAAACCCCGCCCACTGGGAGCTGCGGACAGTCAATGTAAACAAACTGTTTCATGGCCTACCAGTGGATTACCTTGTCGGGCCACTTGCTGCCCACAGGTTGCCCACCACTGATCTAGGACCTCACTCCTGCACACAAGATCAGAGCTGCACAGTTTGCAGTCTAAGAAATAACTGTTTAGTATTTATGACTTATATTTAGATTTTGCCAGGATTCTTTTGTTAAAGTTGTGCCTAAGCTGAAAATCAGAGAAATGTATTTGTCAGTTAAGAGAATGTCTCTCTGCAAACATTTAAAGTGTGTTCAGAACCCAGTATTAATCTGGCAAAACATCCGTCTTACTGATCTGCCAAAATGGCTCTGAAAGTGGCCTATAGTCCATCATCGCCTCATCTAGTGTCTTCTCTGGAAATCATTGCTCTCTGCCATTTACATCTATGCTTATTCCCTTCCAGACGTTGAGATATCAGTACAGTTTAAGAACTATATAATCTTTTGTATACCGCCAAAAATCTTAAACAATTTGATTTCTTTAAGTAAGTATTCCTGTGTACATAGACACATGTCCATTTTAATTTAAAATGAGGGAATAAGCATAGGTGCTGGAAATATCAAAGGTTTCACTAATGCTTGAAAATGGTCAAATTCTACTTGTATTCACATTGGTATAAAACCAGAGTAACTCATTGAAGTCAATGACGTATATGTGTCAGTGGACTTACCCCAGATTTACACAAGTATAAATGACTAGTGCACACATATAACAACTTAAAGCAGACTTGACTACATATATCTTAGCAGATGTGTCTACTAAAAGTTACTGTCAGATGCTGGGAGGACTGGAATGGTCCGTCTGTAATAACTTTTGTGTGTGGGTGCCTGGGCTTTAACACTTCAGTGACTCCTACATTCTACATTTATGCCTAGTACTACCCATCTAGCCCTTTACACAGCATAACTGGATTTGTTTTTCAGAAGTGCCAAATCATTCTCAGGATTAAAATAAAAAAAATATTGAGACAAGTTGACAAGAGAAATGCTGAACTGCCCAGTTTATCAGAACAAATTTGCTGTTTTGAACAACCAGATATTTCATTGCCAGACACGCACTTTTTCAGTGCATTTTATGTGGAGTAATCCAGAGTTTGGTATTTTCATAATGCTAGCCAGAATATTTTATAGCAGGCAGTTTCCTACTTAGCAGTAGTAGTCTGACAAAAATAATTATATTCTGTATGTCAAACAGTATATACATATTACAGTACATCTCTAAGCATAGATGTACAGCCCTTTCATAAAAGTAGATTTTTGTACATTTTAGCCATACTCAGACTTTCTAAAAATACCCAAAATCAGCAATGCAGTGTCTATAAACCTTTTAAAAAAAGCCAAAATATCTCTCACTCAGAACCTTGCATTGTTTTAGTTTTAGAGATTAGTTATTGCATAATTTATTTTTAAATATGTAATATGGCAGAATCCAGTTCTAAAAGTTCTTCTGGTAAAGGCTCAGACACTTTTAAAAGGTTAAAAAAATATATATCCTTTTTTGGAAGGGCCTGCTTATTTAGTGATATGCAGCCAACACAATGTATCTTTCTTTAAAAGCCCTTCAGCTGTTTTGATATGATTACTCAAACAGTGTTCACACACACACACACACAAACAAACCCCACATACATTCTGAAAGCACTTGCAGATAATGCACTGGTAAATCCAACTTAATGTATCATTAAAAGTTTCATTATATAGCAAAGTTAACAGCCTTTCAATGTAACTGACCAGCATTATTTCAGGTACAGTATGTTACAGTTTATGTAGTGTAAAAACTTGTCATGCAGTTTTAGTAACATATCTTTGAACAAATTAAAATGTCTATAATCCTTTTTTCAAGTGCATGAAACCTGCTATGTTTACACAAGTTATGGTGATTCAGCACCTCATACTTTAAAGAGGGCTACAGTTTCTCCTGCTATTACCCTCTGATTCGACAAGGTTTCAAATATAAAAGGCATGGAGAAATCAATTCCCTTTATGATAACTGTTTCAGTGTCTTTCAGTCTTAAAACTCTCAAGCGCATCTTTGAATCCCATAGACTGTGCCCAGATTCATTTTACTTTGCCCTTTTTAAAAAGGGTCAAATGGAGTATATATTCAAAAGGGTCTTATTTTAACAATAGTAAATTCTGTACAAGCCAATTCTGTGCAAACTTTCTAGTGAATAGGGGGTTCATTTATTATAATCTTTACAGGTTGATTTATAATGCTGGTGATTAATGTTTTGTGTCCATGGAGGGAAAATAGAACTGTGAGAACTTTAATTATATGGATACAAGATGTGGTATAGTCTCTACAGTAAATATTAATGTTTCTTCGTATACCTGCTAATGAGCCCTATGCCCCTTCGCATATGCTTAGTTCTCTTGCAACCACGTATAAGCATTTGCAGGATTGGAGCCTGCATCAGTAGGCCTGAATCTGTTCTCAGCAGAATCTTTTGAACTCTAGATAATCTCTTGTCATTTTCCCCCCTCCCCAGCTATTGAAGTTAATCTCCAAAAAGCCCTTGCCGAAGCTTCCGAAACCTGCACACAAGAATGTCTTATCCTAGGCCATTCTGACAACTGCTGGATGCCACCTTCTTTGACACAGTACCAACAATCCAACCCTCCTTTGCCATCATTTGGCTTCCAGCAAGGATGGGGTCGAGGAACCAGACCCGAGGGAAGATACGCGCTTGGAAGGCCCATGCCGAAGGATGATACTGACAAAAGCCAAGGTGGTCCACAGCCCCAGTTCTACAACACCTGTGAAAGACATTGTACCAGTGAAGATCCAGTCAAGGTGATTCCCCTGGCAAACTTCACTCCATCGCAACAGGCACCAGCGTCTGGGAGTAACACCTTTATACATGAGCACCAGTTATAAAAGCATGTCTGTCAAAATCAGCTATTTCAGGCTTTAAAGTGTAAGTGTATATAGTCACAGCCTAACAGTTAACTTTACTGCATATACAAACCTGTTAGGCTTGTGAATATTTATGTAAATAGAATTCTGAATTGAATTTGAAGAGCTGAGTCCTTAGTACTCAATTAAAGGAAATTTACCATAATTGTTGGTCAAAAGTATACACAACAAACAAAACTCTGTTCATTTTATTTCCCCAAATGGGTCATCATAGCACAAATAATAGCTCGTTAGGGCAGGGACCGTCTTCCTCTGTCTCATAATTTCCGAACACATTTTGGGCACTGTCGCAATCTATATAATAGTCATATAGATGACTCTCAACTTCTCTTTTTTGTTTTATATGTACATTATATTTAACACATTCATCGGGCACATTTCCATTTGTTCAACAGTCAATAGCAAATAGAGATCAAGTGCGCGGTTTGTCAATCTATTACTTGAAATCAGTGATTAAATGAGTGATTTAATTCTTTGGATGCACGGCACTTTCACAGTATTTTACGTTTTCCATGACAGGGAAGAGAAGTGTGTTAAAAGTCTTCCTGATCCCTCTTGCTTTTCATTTTAAGGTTGTACTCACTCAGCTTACCTCTATTCGGATTTTGGGAAAAAATAGCTTAAATGAAGCATGAAACTGAATATTTTATTTGACCTTAATGTCCTGTTGCTAAATAGATACCTCTATAGTGATGACTGGACTGCAATTTTACAAGGAGAGTTTCTTGCTTTCCAAGATTTGTTTTTCTAGACTAATGTAAGCTATGTCACAACCTATATTCCACCTGCCAGTTGTCAGCCATGAGTCTATCACTAATCATGTCTTTATCTTGCAAATTTCATATTGGTTAATGTCTTTGTGAATTGGGGATTACATAAACACAGAAGGAAACTGGGTAGATTTTACAGCTGATGCAGTACCATGGCTGTAAACTACTGTTGTCTAGAGAATATTATGGTGATTTAAATGTTAATTTTACAGCTCTATAGTCAGTCACTGCAGGTTTTCAGTAAAGAATTAAATATAACCTTAGATAGTGCACACTAAACCTATTAGACTAAGGCGCTCTTGTCATTCTAACTTAGTTTACTGAAGAAAATTACTGACATTACTCTGCAAAGAAAGAGGAAGCCAGGAGGTGAATGTTGGATGGATGTAATTATAAATACACCCCAATTATGCTATTCTACAGGAGCTCAAGGTGATGTACTGGAAAGATTAGGCAGTCTTGTCTGAACCTTGTGCTGGATGAGATACTCTTTACAGAGCATAAAAGAAAGCTAGTAAATCCTATATTGGACACAAAGAAAATGTCTTTCTTAGGTAAAAGAATTACGGTATTTTCCTCCTGGTATTTTGTTTCTATCCAGCCATTATGTCAAGAACGATACATACATTCCACTATCAAACAATTTTTCTTCAGAACAAAATCAGTTAAAATGCTACTTTAAATCAAGAGACAATCTAAGTTTGATGGGGGTGGGGGTAGGGGTGGGGGGCGGGAGGGAATGTGTCACTACTTCCTGTGGATGGAATTCTGTGTAGGCTTCTTAATGTAACTTAAAATCTGTAATTTATAAACAAAAATGTGTGTAAAAATGCTGTAATATAAGCTGCTTGTAAAATTTATAGAAATTCCAGGTGTTCAGGGTTCCAATGAATGCTAAGACAGCTTCTCTTATGTGCCCAGCAGGTATAAGTAGCTTTATCTATTGTTGTCCCCACTGTAAATCTATTCAAATCACATTTAGTTTTAATGTGCAAAATAAAAGAAGCTTCTCTTTTAACCTATTGATAGGGTTTAATTAATGAAACCTCAGAATATCTAATGGTGTATTTTTCCTTTTTATATATATTTCTCAATAACGTTTAAGAAAGATGTGGCACACTGGCTTCCAGTTGCATGTAAATCCTGGAAAAAATGTTAATCCTCTGGATACTGACAGACAATAGCTGCTCACTTCTAGTTCAGGCATAAGTAAGAATTTGACAAATTAATCCAGACTTAATCTATATAAAGGCTTCTATATTTCTTTACTGGAAAATTTGTGCTGGAAAACTCTCAAAAATAGTCCTTCCTGTAAGATTTCCAGTCAGGCTGGAAATTACAAGAGAATGTTCTCTGGCACAGCATTTCACCGCTACAATTACTGCATGTAAGTTGGAAATTCATTGGCAGAATTTTTCCAAAATCAAAACAAAACAAAAATGACTTTCAGCTTTGGGTAATCCTTTTAGTCTATTTTTATTGTTGTTCATGTTGATTTTCTCCATACCGTATCCTCCCCACAAAAAAGCACACCCTTTCTGTATGAAGTGGTTTGATTGGATACCTGAACTCTCTATACCAGTGCTTCTGTGGCCTGGCACCGGTCCCTGAGATCTCCCTGACACGGTTTAGGAAGGCAGCAAGTTGGTCCCTGGTATCACAAAGATTGAGAAACACTGCTCTATACAACTCTGCTTTCTAAAATATACTAATGTTTAGGAAACAGACTTGATCCTTCCCCAGAGAACTTTAAGGGTAAATTTTCAGAGACCTAAAAGGTTCTCTATATGTAGTCATGCTGTGAAAAAAATGATTTTAATTTAGAGTCTCATTTTTCACCAAAACTAAGAAAGAAAACTTACAGTGACAAATTTCTAAAGTGCCTTCAGTGAAGTACTCTCTGTTAAGATACAGTCCATCCTGTGAAGAAGTTTGAGCATTTCCAGGATTCCTGCTGCATCTAGTAGGACTTGAAATAGACAAAGATTCAAGTTTTAAAAGTCTTACTATTATTCCTCAAGCAACAGTCCAGCATAGAGACCCGCTGGCTTTAGTGGGCTGCTGTATCGCAGAGGAGTCTACCCACACACAGATCAGTGCAGGATGAGATCCTGCAACCCGAGGCATCCTGCCCCACACAGAACTCCCCTGAAGGAAGTTTTCTGCACCCACAAGAACTCCCCTGAAAGAAGGGGGCTCCAGAAGGATCCATTTTCAACATCTATCCCCAAATCTGTAAGTCATTTCTTCATTGAAAGGTCTGAATTCCGTTTGGATGGCTCTCTTGGCTGTTACTCTAAATTTATTTCAGACTTTGTTGATCATTTTAAGTGTGACGTTCAATTAAGTGTTACTGCTTACAAAGAATTACACTTAAATTTCACTGTTTCTCCCAGAATTACAGCAAAAGCTAACTTAATATACTGTGGGTTGTTCCTGCCTAGTTATGAATTTGCATTACTCAGCCTTGAATGATTTGTTAATTTAAAAATGACCTATTTTGTGTTAGTTAGAAGAAAATGATGCCTACCTGGAACAGCTTTAGCTAAATTTAGGATGACTGTGATTTCCTGTAAGTGTTTCAAAAGTTTTATGGTATATTGCTTGAGAAATTCCAGTATATGAATATAAAGGAGCCATGAGAGAAGTAAAACATTTTTCAGCATCGATAAAGATGCCATAAGAAATCAAGTAAAATGATGTTATGATGTAAATCAGTTATGTTATGACTTGCTTGTAACAAGCAATAATAACAGATTAATTAAAATTTATATATATATATATATTTTTGCTTGAAGCAACATTTTCCCAAAAGGCAAGAGGAAATGCCCTGTGTCAGTACCCAGAGGACTAACATCACTAGAGACTCTTTACACATCTTACATATAAACAATTTATCAAGACACGGACTGTACATTTTTTGTGTAATCTTATTTAGTCATTTAACTTATTTTACTTTATTTGTGTGAATTTGTGGAAAAGAAACAATCCTATATATGGTATACAGTACAATGGTAGTAAAATGGATAGATTTGTTTCATACAGTGTAACAATAAAAGAAAACCTTTGCCTTCTTCAAACTGAGTGTTGCACAGTCTTAACTGTTTTTCTTTTAAATCTGACAGAGGCACGGCTGGTGCATTTGTAAACATTTAATCCAAAAAAATGAGGGTGGGAAGGTCCTTTCTTCATTGTAAAGAGGTCAGGGAGAAGAGTTGTTTCCTTTTGTTTTTTAACAATATGCACAGACTTAGGACATGTCTCCACTACAAAATTAAGTTGGCCTAATTTATGTCAGCATACAGCTGCTGCAGTAATTACATCACCTATTAGTGTCTCCAGTTTACTCCTTGTGTCAGCGGTGCACATCCTCCCCAGGAGCCCTTGCACCAATTGAACTAACAGTGTGGGGCATTGTGGGACGGCTTCTAAAAGCCAGCAACAGTTGATGTAAGCAACACAGTGTCTACCTTGACATTGCATCAACCTAACTGCATCAACATTAACACTGTGCCTCTCGTGGAGGTGGAGTTATTAAGTTGGTGCAGCGGGAACATTACATCGAAATTTTAGTGTAGACACTTACAGAGTTAGGTCGACGTAAGCTGCCTTGCATCTACCTAACTCTGCATTGTAGACCAGGGCTTAGCATTTTGAAGTAAAACGTGCAAACCAGACTTGAATGATGTACTTTAAAGAATGGTTCAAACATTCCTTTGTTTCACTCTATTGTAGTGTTATTCTGAACTGTAAATTTAATTCGGCCAAGAAAGAAAGAATAACAGTTATGCAATCGCATTGCCTAGTGTTACAAAAAAGTCAAAATTTCATTTTCCTTCATGAAAGAAATCATGTCATTTTATGGCACTTTCCCCCTCAACCTCCGCCCGCACCCATCCTTTTTGGCAACAATCGTTTTGTATTCAAATTAGCATAGTTTGTCTAGAAAATATTATTCCTGTCATGGGAACAAACATTTTCTGGATTTGGGCAAGGAAGTAAACAACATTGCATGGCAATTACTGTGACAAAGATATTTGAAGCGGAGTCTTTAAAGGAAATCAGTTTTTGTAGCTTTTTTAAATCATTGCAATCAATAACCAATATTTACCAGGCTACATAGTCTTACCAGTCAGATTTAAAAAGAGGTTTTATTAATAAGTTAAAGGAACCCATCAGCTAGAAAACTGTTATTGCTGTGAGCCTAGGCACAGACCTGGTGGTCAATCCAATCTGAAAAAATCATTAAATCACAAAGAAGGCCATAACTCAAAAACATAAGTCAATTTTGACCAAAATTAGCAGAAAGTCCTTGAAAACAACTGACAGTGCAACTATGTAACCAAACTAGTACTGTTTCCAAAAATATTTAGCCCCCAGGTGCTATGTTGCATGCATTTTCCCCATACTTTTTTGCTTTTGGTTAAAGCAAAAGTCGTTAGTAACACAAAGTATGAGCTTGTTTATAGCATGTAATACATCAACATATTTGTCATTATTTGTAGAATGGGCTGATTTGAGAATAGTTTTTCTATCTGCTATTTTATGAATGTTGGCTACTGTCTAGTGATTCCAGCACTGGCAACCGATGGGTAAAACATGATGAAATATTTTCAGGATACGTACCATTCTCTGGACTGACCTACCTTGTGTATGATGAAGCAATCTATTGCATAAGCATAAGTTGATTTAATGGAGTCAAAACAAATTTGACAAGGACCACCTTAAAATGGGAGGTATATGTCATGCAATGAATTTCATGAGTGATATAGGCCATGTGATACAGGAAAGTGGGTTTGCTGACATCGTTGTGGAAGTCAAGATCTGTGATGCTTCAGTCAACAGCCATGCTCTTAGAGGGAAAGCGTTAACAACAGTGTTACAATCAGGAAATGAATTGCTTGAAATGGATTGCACTTGGTGATTCCACGAGCAATGATCCCCCAGCAGATGAGAAGAGGTGCATAGTGGAGAAAGCTCAAACATGCATTGAAGCATTTGATCGTGTGAAGAAGACACACAGAGAAAACAGATTGGAAGCACAGAATGCTCTGGCAGACTTCCTGAACAGCACCCAATCACTCCTCGCCAGCTTATGGATACTTAGGCTACCCAAGGAAAAAAAACTATTCAGCTACATAGTGTTCTCAGAACAAAAATGTAACAGATTTCTCTCAACTACTGATGCTTACATAGCAGGTAAGAGAGACAATAACAATCCATGGAGCTAGAGACATTTGCACTGGTATTTACACTTGACTTCCAGTGTCATTGTGTGAATTATACTAAATGGGGTTGTGTAAATGTAGCAGAAGCCAGACTACTGGAGGAGGAGAAGCCAGATACATATCATGCCCTAGTTCAGTGGTTCTCAAACTGTTGGTCAGTACCCAATAGTAGGTCACGCCTAGTGATGAGCTGCCAAAATCTTAACAACGGGTTCCCTCCTCACCCCATGAGGGGGTCATTGCCCCCCCCACCCTCCTCCCCTGTTCCCTGACTGCCCCCAGAACCGGGCAGGAGGGTCTCATGGGCCACCGTAGTGGGTGCCCACCCCTAAGAGCCAGAGGCACCTGCCAAGGGGCGAGGTGGGAAGTCCCGGAGATGCTTACCTGGGGCAGCTCCCAGGAAGCATCCGGCAGGTCCCTCTGGCTCCTAGGGGCAGGGGAGTGTAGCTAGGGGGGGTGCAGGGGGAGCGGCCACTC